TCTTTCCCTGGGGCTCCCTTTACCCCTGGCTACCCACCCCCTCTAAATCTTCCTCACTAGATAAGATTCCTGCTACAGACACGCTAGACCAACCCTGGCCTCTCTTCACCGTCCCTAATTCCCCAGCATGGTGTCAAGAAAATGAAATGCTTGCAGTAAACTTCTCTTTAGCTCCTCCACTTGGTTTCCTTCACACCCTGGACTGATAAGCCAGTGCTTATTTCACAAGAGCAGAGAAGCCTCTGTCTGTATGGGAGGTTAACACACACCCGGAGGCTGGATTCTGGCTGGTCTCTCCCAACAGCTGAGCATCATGATTTCGCTAATTAAGCTGCTTTCTTGTCTTTAATTAGCTGCATGTGAATCTTGTTGGGAAGTCTTGGATCCGTGAAATACTCTGGGAAAAAAATCAAAAAGAAGAACTCATCCACACTCAAGGGGAAAAGACTGGGAGGGAGAGAGCTTACTCTGCTAAAAAGTTAGGGTGGCTTGGTCGGCGCAGGACTGTTCCCGGTGGCCCTGCTTTACAACAAAATATGAGATGTCACAGCAAATCTAAGCTGCTCGAAGCCCGCGGCTCACGCGGCCCCAGGAAGGGCTTCCACCGGCAGCCACCGCCCCCTCCACACTGTGCCAGTCCTCAGCCGGTGGCTGAGCTCCTGCTGAGCACGGGGAGCCATCAGGAGGCTCAGGAGGCTCTGGGTGTGATGCTCCCGGCCCATCTTGGGGCCCAAATAAATGCCAAGTGTTATTCTCGTCTCCACTCGGCTTGCCAGCTCTGTCTCTGAGCATCACGCCTTCGCTGAGAATACCCTCAGAAGAGAGCCAGGATGACGACAGAGGGTTTTTATACACCCGGCAGAATGTGAATCAGAGGCAGCATCTGCTGTGGCAGCAAAGACGTACTTGGACTCAGTTAGCAACGGCTTGAGGACAGAACTGCTCCTGGGGCTAAGAGCACCCCAGTAATCGCCCAGCCCTGCCCCTGCCCCTCTAATACCATCGACCTGAAGCCAGGGGAGCCTTTAAACCCATGGATGCTGGATCCACCCCAGACTAATTAAATAAAAATCTCCTGGGTGGGGCCTGAGCATCAGTATTTGTTAAAAAGCTCCCCAGGTGACACTAAAGTTCAGCCGCGGCTGAGAAGCCCCATTCCCGGGGAAAGGGCCACCCCATGCTCCTCCAGGAACCTCAGAACTCTTCAGTCCTCACCATGAGAAATTCTGCCTCATTTCTTATCTGTCCTCATTTTGAGGAAATGACAATAGAGAAAAGAAACCTCCTAAAGAAAGTTCCCACGGGGGACACTGGGTAAAGGAGGGCCCCAGGCCTGCAGGGAGAATCCTGGGCTTGTCCACGTCTAAATTTCCAGCACCCTCCTTACACCCTACCCCACACCCGACGCTGCCTACTCACCCGCAGCAAATTCCAGAATGTTGTCTGGTCTTTTCAAAAACATTTCTCTGGAAAACATTAAGGGATAGGGCAAGAGGTAAAGTGGGCTAAGGCTGGCTGCAGAGACGGCTTCAGCTCAGTATTTTCACATGGTAGATTAGCCTGAGACACACCCATCCTGGGAGTCAAAAAACCCGCAGACTCCTCATAAAGATCCTTTCACTCTGACTTGCCATCAACTCGGGATCTAAGGCCAGGAGCAAAAATCCTAGGGGGCAATAAATGTAGAACACTGCTCACATCACAGAAAGGGCTGTGATGTAGCCAGGTGGGGTTTGCCATTCATTCAACAAACGTTTTCACAGAACCAGATACCAAGCCCAGGGAGGGAGGCAAAGGTGACGAACATGCTACTCAGTCCTCCAGGGGCTCACATGGGGAGGGACAGACACGGAAGCCCACGGTGTTGTGAGTTCACCCGATTTCTCACAGTGAAGATGGGATACGATAAACCCAGCAGAGAAGGTAGGCTTCAGACAGCTGTTGGCTCTGCAGTACAGTGGCAGACACCATGACGCCTGCAGCACCGAAGCCACCACAGGCAGGAAACAGCTCACAGGGCATAGTTTTACGGTTTATAAGAACATGCACACAATCATCTTGCTTTATAGTAACCCTGTGAAAGGACAATTACTATGCCCCACTTTACATAAGCAAAAACCAAGCCTTTGGAAGGTTAATCATTTGCCCAAGTTCATAAAGGTGATAAAACTCGAGAGGATCGGTCGGTACTGCAAGGCCAGTGTTCTCTACACTGCATGTTCTCTCGGCCAAGGAGTTCCTACCTCCCAAGCCTCGAGAACCTAGCCCTTTCTCTTCCAGTTCAATTTGGTAACTACTGAGTACAAGTTCTATGTAAGCGACTGCAGGAGGTATGAGGGATTAAAAAAAAAAAAAGATAAATGATAGCCTGCCTCAAAGAACATATAGCCAAGTAAAAGAACAGGTAAGTTCCCAAATATTCACAAGGCCATGTAATCCATGAGTCAATGCTAAGAAAGGGGTTTAAATAGCGCTCTCAGTGATCAGAAGGGACAGAGAGGGTTACTGAAAGGGAGACCTCAAAAATCTTCTCAGGGCAGCTGGTATGTGGGAGGACCCTTGAGGCACACACAGGATTTCAGTAGATAGGTGAGCATTGAGAGACAAGAACCTTCCAGATCCAGGGAAACAGCAAGCGCAAAAGCCTAGGAACAGAAAGGAAACAGTCCACATTTCCTGTGACTTCCGTGAGGGGAGGAACTGATTGTATTCATCTGTCACTGCATGGCCCAGCAGAGCCTCTGACTGGGCCCCATGAGGTCAATGGAATGACCTTGCTGAATAAGGGGATCATGCAGGGAGCAGTGGGAAACAAAGGGGCTCTATATTGGAGACCCTGAATGCCAGAGAGAGATGTTCACAGTCAAAATTAAAAGACCACAGGAATGGATAAATAAAATGTGGTGCAGTCACACAGTGGAATAGTATATAGCAGTGAGGATGGAGGATCTACAAGACACCTCCTAGCAAGAGCAAAAGGCACGAAGGAGCACATATTGTAGAATTCCATTTACATAAAATACAAAAAGACAAAACAAACCTGTGCCATTAGAGGTCAGAATACTGACAAATACAATGGAATACTATTCAGCCATTACAAAGAATGAAATTCTGTCATTTAAGGCAACAGAGACAAGTCTGGAGGACATTACATTACGTAAAATAAGTCAGGCACAGAAAATATACTGCATCAGGGCTGGGAGGTGGCATGGTGGTTAAGGGCACTAGACTCCCACATGGCTGACCGTGGTTCGAGTCCTGGACCTGGCAGCTTACTTTCTCTCTAAAAAAAAATCTCTCACTCTGTCCCTCTCTGGTCGAATTAAAATAAATAAATAAAGTTGTTTTTTTTTTTAAGTTAAAAAAAAATACTGCATCTTCTCACTCATATGTGGAAACTAAAATAGCTGACCCCATAGAAGTACAGAATAGACACTGGATCCCACATAGCCAACTGCATGGTTCAAGTCCTGGACCCAGCAGCTTGAAAATCACACCAGGTGCATGTGCGTGTGTGCCCAAAGTCCCGAGACAGTCTGGAGGAGAAGGGACTGCAGCATGGCTAGTCTTCTGAGTGGTGATTTTTCATTTTCCCTCTTATATTCTCTCTCCATCTCTCCCTGGCAAGCACATGTGCCCTATAGCGAAAAAGAAAGAAAACCTGGGTCCTTGGAGACATTACTGACATTAATAATGAGCTAAAGCAATAAATCTTGTCTAAATCTAAAAAAAAAAAGAAAGAAAAAAAAATCCTACTCTATATGTCAATTTAAAAAAAAAAAAATAAGGGGCCAGACTCCCACACGGCCGACCATGGTTCAAGTCTTGGACTTGGCGGCTTCCTTTCTCACTTTCTTTCTCTCTCTCTCTCTATTGCTCTAGGTCAAACTGAAAAAATAATAATGATGATGAATAAAATTAAATAATTCAAAAAAAGAAAAAAAAAAAGACAGGCCAACCATAGCCTAGTGTTTAATTGAACTACAGCCCAACCCCACAGTTGGAATCCCAACCCTGATGGCTTGAAAAACACACTAGAGGTGCCAGCAAGTGGTATGGGGTTAAGGGCACTGGATTCCCACATGGCTGACTGTGGTTCAAGTCTTGGTTCTGGAGGCTTGCTTTCTTACTTTCTTTCTCTCTCTTTCTCTGTAGCTCTCTCTGGAAATACTAAAAATAATAATAAAGTTAAATGAAATAATTCTCTAAAAAAAATATATATATAAACAAAAGAAAGAAAAACACACTAGATATATGTATGTCCGTGTCTCAAATCCAAACAGGAGGGAGGTGGAGGAGAAGGGACTGCAACATGACCACACCCCACCTTCCTCTGCCTCTGTCTCTTTATGATGAGTACACATGCCCTCTGTTAAAAAAGAAAAGAAAATCTAAAAGCAAACAAAAACGTATTATCTATGAGGACACACACACACAAGTCGGGACGCTGGTTACCATTTTGTGGGGAGTGACTGGAAGAGATCACAAAGGGTCTGAGGTGCTGCAAAGGCTCTATTTTTTCATCTAGATACTACAGTATCGTGTGTGTGCTCAGCCTGTGAATGTTCATCCAGCTTAGGACACGCCACCTCTCTGTGCATTATATTTCAATAGAATGATTAAAAACAAATAAAATCGGCAGTTTCGTAGAACCTCTGAAGACTTTTCCAGCCAAGGAACAACATGATCAGTCTGTATATTGGGAAGACTCATCTGCCTGGGTATTTAATAAAACATCTAATAAAACCTTTCTTCAATTTCATCTGTGGCTATGTAAACTGCAGCCTAAAACTTGAGGTTTCTGGGTACCTCAAATAAGTTAAATCCCTATGCTTTCCATTTTTCAGGTCTAAAATTCAAGGTATTAAGAATTCTGTAGGGGCCAACAGGTGGCATGGCGGTTAAGGTGCTGGATATTCCCACATGGCTGACCACGGTTCAAGTCCCCAACCTGGTGGCTTGCTTTCTCATTTTTCATCTCTCTGTGTGTCTGTCTTTCTCTGGTCAAATGAAAATAAATGAATGAATGAATAAAATTAAATAATTTAAAAAAAAAAAAGAATTCTGTAGACCAGGGACCAGCAGATGGCATTGATTATATCACTGGACTCCCTCATGACTTACTTTGATTCAAGTCCTGGACCCGGTGCCTTCAAACTCATGCCAGGCATGTGTGTGTGTGCATACCCAAAATCCTGAGAAGAGACGAGGAGAAAGGACTGTGGCATGGTCATCCCCTACCCCAACCGGAGGGCGATTTCTCACTTTTTTTCTCTCTGTCACTCTGACGAGTACACACACCCTAATAACAAAAATCTCTCTTAAAAAAAAAAAAAAGAATTCTGTACATGTGTTTATGAGTGTAAACTGAAGAACTGTGGCTGAACAGCCATAAATCATTAGAATCAAGGGATCAGACAGCTACAGCAGAAATGCAACACTTTGTATTGTGGACTCACATAAGAAGGTCATGGGTTCATGTCCCAGGGCCTCCCTGTACAAGCCTAGCCAGCACCTGTGCCAGTGATCGAGGCTGGCTGAGGATGGGAGATTACAGTATAAGGAGATGGTTGAGAGTTTCTCTTTCTCTCTCTGTCTCATGGAAAAAATAAATAAACATGGTTTAAAAAAATCATTAGTGGAGCCAACAGGTGGCATTATGGTTAAGGCACTGGACTCCCACATGGCTGACTGTGGTTCAAGTTCCAGACCTAGTGGCTTGCTTTCTCTCACTTTCTCTCTCTCTCTTTCTCTCTCTCTCTTTCTGTCTCTCTCTCGTGAGTCCACATGCCCTGTAGCAAATTAAATACTGGTGAGTCCACATGCCCTGTAGCAAATTAAATAATAATAATGATAAATAAAATTAAATAAGTAATGTTTTTTAAAAAAAAATCGTTAGGATTGGGCCAGCCACTGGATCCCAATATGGTCAACTGCATAACTCAAGTCCCATACTCAGCAGTTTGAAAAACATACTAGACTCATGTGCGTGCATGCCCAAAAATTCCAAAAGGAGAATACAGAAAGGATTGTGGTGTGGTCATCCTCTATGGGGGGTTGCTTCTTTCACTTTCTCTCTCTTTTTTCCCTTTTTCTCTCTTCCTATTTCTCTAGCGAGTGCACACACCTGATAACAAAATTTTTAAAAATAAATAAACTCATCAGGATCCAGAAATCACAAGTGGAGAGTTTCCCTCCCAATGAGAACAGTTTCCAATTGCCCAGACCAAGTGCAGAGACCTGCAGAGAGACCAGGACAGGCTTGCTACTTGGGATGCTGTCCTTTCTTCTCCTTCCTCTTTTCTTACAGGAAGACCAGGTGAAGGATCTAGCACAGATGAGGGGGTGTTTCTGGTTCATCCTGGTACCATTCAGAGGAAATAACAATAACACCAAACAAACAAATAAAAGCAAACCCTCAAACTTCTGACACTACCACACCGTCATCTCTACCCTGGAAACAGAAAAAAGAGGGGCAAGGAAGACTGCATGTAGGGTGCCTCAGGGACAGCAAAAGGAAAAGCCTGCTGACCTACCTGGCCTTGGAAAGGGGGATGGTAAGAATGAAAGGAAAGGTGCCTGAGGCTGTCCCTGCAGGAGCCAGGCCCTGACATCCAGCCTCTTCCTAGAAACTGTTCCTGGACAAACAGAGGAGCAGGGCCAACCCCGACATATAACCAAACAAAGCCCTTTTCCTTTTTGTTCATAGCCCTCTTCACTCACCACCCTTGAGTGTTCTAATCCTGTTGTTAGTGAACAATGCAATGATTTAATTCAGGCTTTTAGTGCAGCCCCAGTCTCTGCTGGAACCATTCCTAACTTGGATTGCAAGCTCCCCAGGATAGGAACAATGTCATCCTTTATTTCCACTTAGAAGAAAAGGTGCAAAAAGTGATGGCCTGATTCTGACAAAGGACCCCTAAACTACCTTTTTAAAAAGAGTTAATTGGGGCCAGCAGGTGGCTTGGTGGTTGTGAGGCTGGATTCCAATATGGCCAACTGCAGTTCGAGTCCCAGACCTGGAGGCTTATTTCTCTCCCTCTCTCTCACTCTGGTCAAATTGAAGAAGAATAATAAATAAAATTAAATGAATAATTTTTTTTAAAAAAAGAGTTTATTGGGGACCAGCAGGTGGCATGGTAGTTAAGGTGCTGGACACTCTCACATGGCTGACCATGGTTCAAGTCCTGGACTTGATAGCTTGCTTTCTCACTTTCCTCTCTCTCTCTTTCTGTCTGTCGCTCTTTGGTCAAATTAAAATAAATGAATGAATAAATAAAATAAAATTAAGTTAATTTTTTAAAATGTTTTAAAAAATAGAGTTTATTTCTTCCATGAGTAGGAGAGTCAGAGAGCAAAATACAGCATGCCCAACAGGGTCTGGGGTCATAGAACCAGGGACAACAGATTATAGCATGACTATGCCATATCAGGGGGGTACTTTCTCCTTCTCTCTCTAGCATAGAGCCATAGGTCATGATCCATGCCTAGCTTTGGCCAATATCACTTATGGACACATATGCATGCCTGACATACTGAGAGGTAGCTGGGTTTGAACCCAGAACCCTCCCATGTGAGTCAGCCTCACAGAGCATCTTTTTACTGGACCACAATCCAGTCCCCCTAGATTATCTTTGCCCATGTCTAACCCTGGCCCAAATAAACATAATCATGACAGAGTAACCAGACAGGTTTCCATTTTCCCCGTCTACTTCCCCAGTCTGCTCTCTGAGGGGCTGCCATCACGTGTAGCAATGTTTAAAATATAAGGAATAGTAGCTCAAAAAAAAAAAACCAAACAAACAAACAAACAAACAGAGGGACCTTGAAAAAAGACCCCATCCAGACCTACTTTTGAGAAGACAAAGGAGAGCCCACTGCTGGCTGTGAGCCCTAGGTCCACTGACTGGGGCACTGGGGACTATGTGCTTTTAGCACAAGAAAATGAAAGACTTCAGGGTTTGAATCCTAGTTCAATAATGTGAGAAAGATATTTCGCTCCTCTGCACTTAACTTTTCTCACTGTGACATGGGAATGATAATAGCTATAGTTTATAAAGTTGTTGGGATGATCAGCAAAAGTATACCAAGATGCTACACCCTATATGGGCACTGGGGACACAGACGTGCTTCCCCGAGCTCGGAGCTTTGTACCAGTAACAGACAGAGAAGACAGACAGCTAAATTGCAACACAATGTGGTAAGTGCTAATGTGGGGAACCAACACAGAGTATGGAAATAGAAGTCATTATTATTACTTCAACCTCACCTCTTTGCCTATGGCCAAATGGTATTTGACATAGCTCTATTGTTTTCAATCCATTGCTTGCTCTTTGATTTTTTTTTCTCTCAGTTCTTTGACTTTAATCCCATTAGATTTTTCTATTCAAACAAATGCTAGGCTGAAAGGTAATGTGGGGGAAAGAAAGAACAAGCTCCAGGACCAGCAGTTGGCGTAATGGCTATGTTGCTGGACTCCTATGTAATCGAGCACAGTTCAAGTCCCGGACCTGGTAGCTTAAACTCACGCCAGGTGCATGTGAGTGCGTGCCCAAGAGGAGAATGGAGGAGAAGGGATTGCAGTGTGGCCATACCCCCTGGGGGGTGATTTCTTGCTTTCTGTCTCTCTGTCTTTCTCTGTCTCTCTGGCAAGTAGATACACCCTATAGCAAAAGCCTCTCCAAAAAAGAAAGAAAGAAAGAAAGAAAGAAAGAAAGAAAGAAAGAAAGAAAGAAAGAAAGAAAGAAAGAAAGAAAGAAAGAAAGAAAGCTCCACCAGAAAACGGACTGGGCCAGCCCGGCGGCTTAGTGGATGAGAACCAGATCTCACATGGCTGACAGCACCATTCAAATTTCAGCCCTTGCGGCTTGAAAAACACACTTGAGCCCATGTGCATGCATCCAAAATCTCGACAGTATAGAGAAGTGGACAAAGGACTGCAGCATGACCACGTCCCATTAGAGGTGCTTTCTGCCTTCCCCTCTCTCTGAAGAGCACACCTTTATTCTGACCAAATTTTTTAAAGATGAGAGAAAATGGTCTTTCCTCCAAAAAAATTAGGTGGGGAGGGACCGATGGTAAAACACAATGCTCTGCGAGGCTGACCCACATGAGGAAGTTCCAGTCCAAGTTTGGACACCTCGCTGGTATACTGGGCATGCATGTGCCTATGACCCAGGGCAGCTGAGGCAGGGGGAAACTGTGTCAAGACCTTATTGAGGGTGCTCCATCTCTTTCTCTCTCTTAATGTCTTGCTCATAGAAGAAAAAAACATTAAAAAAAACAAACAAAAAAAAAGAGTGGCTTCTAACCGGATACCTGAGCTTTTATTTAAGTTCTTGTAATGATCCTTTTTAAAATAATTATTTATTGGAAACCAGCAGTTAGCGTAATGGCTATGTCGCTGGACTCCCACGTAGTCGACCGCAGTTCATGTCCCGGACCCGGTGGCTTAAAACTCACGCCGGGCGCGTGTGCGTGCGTGCTCAAGATCCCGAGAGGAGAATGGAGGAGAAGGGATTGCAGCGTGACCATCCCCCCTGGGGGGTGATTTCTCGCTTTCTGTCTCTATGTCTCTCTCTGTCTGGCGAGCGCACGTGCCCTACAGTGAAAATCTCTCAAAAAAATTATTATTTATTTAATTTTATTAATTCATTCATTTATTTTTATTTGGTCAGCAATAGATACAGAGAAGGGGAGAGAGAAGGAAAGTGAGAAAGCAAGCCACCAGGTCCAGGACTCGAACCACAGTTGGCCATGTGGGAACGTCCAGCACCTTAACCACCATGCCACGTGCTGGCCCCTTGTAATGATCTTGTTAAGCGTCTCTGACTGAGAATAGTGTTCTATACCCATGACTGCCTGTTGAGTTTCTCAGTGCCAACTTTACTCTTCCATGTGCCATAAGGCATATGTGTATCCTTACAGTTAAAGTGAATGAATAAAGCATTTAAAGAGATTAAAGGAAACCTCTTGAGATAACTGAAGAAAAACCCTGTCCACAAATCCTGGTGTTAGAAGAATTTAGTCAGGAACAAGTAGATGGCATAACAGTTACGTCACTGGACTCCCATGTAATCAACCATGGTTGGAGAGCTGGACCCACAGGCTTAAAACACACCAGGAGTATATGCATGAGTGCCCAAAATCCCAAAAGGAGAATGGAGGAGACAGGATTGCAGTGTGGCCATTCCCCGGGGAGGGTGGGGGATTTCTCTCACTTTCTGTCTCTCTGTCTCTCCAGTGAGTGCACGCCCACTACAGCGAAACTCTCAAAAAATAAAAATAAAAAATCTAACTTCCAGGAAGTTAGAAGCAAAAGGGAGAAACCCCTAACGAAGGGGTTGCTCACATTCATCCCTCCCCAACAAGACTCAGTAAAGGCCAGTCTGGAAAGCCACCTACCTGAAGAAACCACTTATGAGCAGCTCTACTTCTCTGTGGGCCCTCAGGTACTTTTCGTTAGCAATCCGAGTCTGAATCTGGAGGAGGGGAGCAGGAGCAGAGGGTCACGCTCCATGAGACAGACTCTGGGTAGAGCCGGCGCAGGAAGGGCGGGGGTGGGGGCACAAACCCACCGGACCCGGCCTGTCCCCAGGACGCCGCCTACCTTCGCTCCGGCCTAGGGACCTTACCCATCGCATCCCGACCCTCGTTTGCACCTAACCTGACGTATCTGGCAGTCACGTGAGCCCATTTCTCCGGCTGGACCCCTACTTTTCTTCTTCCTGCACTTTCACACACCGTCGCGATCTGTTCGGCGGCCCAGAAGCCCTGAAGCCCTTCGGGGTTCTCCCCTGGGCCCTCAGTCCCTTCTTCTGGGACCCCGTCCCGCCCCGCTTCTCTCCCGGACCCTCGGCCGGGTCTCGGAGCCCCGGTCCTGCAGGAGCTGCACTTTGATGGGAGAGGAGGTGGAGGACGCGGACGCACCCACCTTAAAGTTTCTCAGCTGCTCCAGCTGCGCGGGACTCAGCGCCCCGGGATCCGGCCCCAGCAGCCCGCCGGGCAGCCCAGGCGGCAGCCTCGCCATCTTGTCCTGGTCGTCAAGGCGACGGGCCGCGGGCGAGCGAGGCCCCGCCCCCATGGAGGCCCCGTCCAAAACCAGCCCTCTCCGGAGAAGGGGGCGGGGCTGACGGAAGCAATGTGTGGTCTGCTCTGAGCTGGGAAGTGAGCTCCGAAGTTGGGGACTGATTTCTGGGCTTAACTGTACGTGGAATAGGCCCTTCTGCTTGAGCCCATCTAACCTCAAATAATTTTCTTTTTCTTAATCTTAGTTCTAGAGCAAAACAGGAAGAGGGGTTCTTAAAGCAAGGTCTCCCCAGAATCTGGTTCCTGACTCTCCTCCCACTTCAGCAGAAGCTGGAGGAGACTAGTACACGGGGAAAGAGAATGTAGGTCTTCTCTTTCCACTGACCCAGGAGCCAACTCTTCTTCCATTTATCCTGAAGACTCTTGGCATGGAGGTCTTCGATTCTTTCTTAATTTTTTTTTTTTTGAGAGGTTTTTGCTATAGGGCGCATGCGGTCGCCGGAAAGACAGAGAGAGCTCTGCAGAGAGACAGAAAGCGAGAAATCACCCCTCAGAGGGGATGGCCACGCCTCAATCCCTTCTCCTCCATTCTCCTCTTGGGATCTTGGGCACACACGCACACTTGCCCAGCGTGAGTTTAAGCCACCGGGTCTGGGACTTGAACCACGGTCGACTACATGGGAGTCCAGCAACATAGCCATTATGTCAACTGCTGGTCCCTGAGGTCTTAGATTCTTAAATCACAGGAAAGTGCCTGTGGATTGGAGTGAATTGAGGTCTGCAAAGGAAGGACGGTTCAGAGACTAAGGATGCTGGCAAGGACCTGTGGGACCTCCTGCCAGAAATTCCTCTTGGACTCTCTTGTGTAGATTAATTTTTCTCTTCACCCTGGGCTCTTCATAAATTCTAAATTATTTTTCCCACTCCTGATTGAAAAGGGAGGAGAAAGAGAAATGGTCTTCAAGATTTGTTCTTCTAGTATCTAATTAAGACAAGAGCATGAAACATAAAGCCAGAGAACTGAAAATAGCTCCTGGAAAGGGCAGGAGCCTGTTTGTCAATACATACATGTCCAGCTCCTACCCTACAGAGATCTGCCCAGCAGAAGCCTGGAGAGCAGAGCCCTGGAGGAAGGGCTTTTCAGTTTTGTCTGCCCTAAGGAACAGGAAATAGCGAGAGAAACAAGCTCAGCATTAGGCCATGGCCCACAGGGGTCTCTTGGTGGTGTCCTCTATCCTTCCCAGCAACGACAAAGGAAAAAAAGTTAAAATGTTGACAGTTCCCAAGCCCGGGGAACCACAAGAGGTAAATTAAGGAAAGGGCTACAAGCCTCTTCCCAGCAACCCCATCTGGGTAAGTTATCATTCTGGTTGTTTGTCTGTTTTTGAGGAGAGTTAATAGAGTGAGAAGGAGATAAGCTGCCATCTGTCAGATGGGATGTGTTGTTAATTCTGCGGGAGCAGAGGTTAACCAGAGGCAATACAATGGTCTCTTCTCACCTCACACCCTCAAGAGAAGCTAGTGATGGAAGATCAGAGCTGTGCTAGCCTATGTGGTCACCACCAGCCACCTGTGGCTCTAAGTGTTAGTTGTGCTGGAAATATAAAAATATATACTGGATTTTGAAGACTTAGTATGAAAAATGACTGTAAACTATTAACAATGTATAGTGAGTACATGTTAAAATCATATTTTGGATGTATCAGATTAATTAACTTATATCATTAAAAGTAATTTTAGAGCCAGCAGGTGGCATGATGGTTAAGGTGCTGGATTCCCACATGGCCAATCGTGGAGAAGGTATTGCATCATGGCCATTTCATCTTCCCTCTCTGTGTCTCTGGAGAGCACATATATCCCATGAAAAATATTTTTAAAAAGTAATTTTACTTTTTTTTTTAACTTTTTTAATGTGGCAGTGAGAAAGTTTCTAATTATATATGTTGCTTGCATTATCTCAGACAGCACTGGAATCTGGACCAGCAAACCTACACAAACACACACACACAAAGAGGTTCTCCATCTCCTCACCCCCATGCATAAAATAATTGATGTCCTCCGTCTCCTCCTCTATCATCTTCTTGTGCTTTGAGAATCAATAAAGCCTTTCCTGACTGATCACATCCTGTGGCCCAGATACCATGTACAAGAGAGGCTATTTGTATTTCCTTAACAGTATCTGTCCTCACTGTTACAGATTCTGTTGGCCTTCTGTTTTTCTTTTTTTGAAGAGAGATTTTTGTTATAGGGTGTGTGCGCTCACCAGAGAGAGAGAGACATAGAATCAAAGTAAGGAATCCCCCCCCAGGGGGATGGCCATGCCACAATCCCTTCTCCTCCATTCTCCTCTCAAGATCTTGGGCACACACACACACGCACCCATCCTGAGTTTAAGCTGCCAGGTCTGGGACTCAAACTGTGGTCAGCTATGTGGGAGTTCAGCAACATAACCATAACCATTATGCCATCTGCTCGTCTCTATTGACTTTTCTTACCTCCCGACTTGAGGTAGAAGCCACCTGAGGGCAGGAGGACCCTCTAATCAGTTCTTCGTACACTCCCAAAAATTGTGCTGCAACTGTCTTCCCCCTGTATTCCATCAGCGAAGCCGGTATACGGTGACCAGCCACTCTGCCCACACTTACCACATTTTGCTCTTTCTGAAAAATATCCCAATCATCCAGCATTTCTCATTTCCTAAAACTCTAAAGCCAAGAACAGAGCTCTCCCTTTGTAAAGTCAGTAATCGTTTTATGTAGGGCAGCTTAGCTCTGACTGCAGAAGACTCAGAGAGAGGGTGAGCTTGGGGATGGTGGGCAGAGAAAGTATTTTAGAGCAATCAGGGCTTGGAAGCCTCACTTCCTCCTGGAAACTCCTCAGAATGGGTGTCTGAGTCACAGGATTTCCCCTCCCATCTTTACCTCACAGAGCTCCCATCCCCCAGGACCTGAAAGGACATCAGAGCTGTGCCCACAGTCACTCAGCAAGGAGGGTTTGATGAGAGCACCTGCCTCTTCTCCCCTCAACCCTGCTTCTCTCAGACTGACACCTTCAATCTGGGGACCACAAACTAAGGATTGAAGGCATTTTGCTGTCTGCAGCTGTCTCTCCAATTACTGACTGGGTGGAAGAGTGAGGGAACTTCATTGTAATTCATTTTTGTGAATGTTTAATATTTCAATTAATATGATTAGCCCCAAGCCTGAATGAGCAGCAGGGCGGCAGATCTGCTGAGAAGACACAGAGTAATGAGATCAACAGGGCCGTGGGGTCTTCCCCTTCTCCATCCTCAGAGGGCATGATCTGTTTAGCATCTCCATAAATACCACGATCTGATTAGAAGGCAAGAAAAGGAGAGGCGGGGGTGGGGTAGGGAAATGGAGATGTGTCTGCACCTCTTGATCCCTTGGCATTGCCATCGGTCTTCTGATCAGCCACCACTGAATCGTCTGCCGTGTCCCTCACCCCACCCCCACTTCAGGGGACCCTACTGTGAGGACATGGACATCCACATGATGAAGTAGAACCAAGTCTACACACACCTGCACTCCGACATAGCACCTGCCTGAATGTGGCCACTGGCCACAGAAACCCAGACCAAGGAGGGGCAGAAGGTGGTCAACCAGAATCACACAGTGGAAAGAACTGTCTCCCACCCAGGGCTTAAAGGAGGACATTAGAGGAAGAAAGACCAGGCTTAGCTGGCTCCATTCCCAAGAGGAATGTTTGATGTAGGAATTAGAGGCATGTACTCAGGAGCCAGATTGCCCCAGCTTCAATCTCAGCAAGTCTTCCCTCTAGCCTTAGGCAAGAAACGCAAGCTCTCCGTGCATTGGTTTCCTCATCTCTATGTGGGGGTAATGATACAATTACATTGTAGGGTGGTGCTGAGGGTTAAATGAGTTAATAAATATAAAGATGCAGGTCAGAGCTGCTGAGAAGACACAGAGTAAGGAGATCAACAGGGCCTAGGGTCTTCGAGCATCTCTATAAATACCATGATCAGATTAGAAGGCAAGAAAAGGAAAGAAGGGGATGGAGATGGGTCATGGGAAAGTCCCCAGTTCAGATCCAGAGACCTCCCTGAATAAGCCAGGCATGCATTTGCCCATGTCTGGGGCTGGCTGTGGCTGGCAGTGGGTCTCAGCCGGGACTCTGTTGGGAATGCCTGTTCTTTCTCCTCTTGTCTCTCTTGCTAATGGAAGAAATAAACTTTAAAAAGAAAAAAAAAAGGTGCCTGACATACCGTTAGGGCTGCACAGATTGACTGTTACTATTATTATGTTTTAAAAAGAATTGCTTTATTTAACTTTATTTATTTACTTATTTCTTTTAATTTGTCCAGAGAGGACAGAGAGAGAGAGAGAGAGAGAGGGAAAGTGAGAAAGTAAGCTGCCAGGTCCAGGATATGAACTGTGTTCCGCCATGTGGGAGTCCAGCTCCCCTAGCCACCACTCCACCTGCTGGCCCCAGACTGTTAGCATGATTTCATTTCCATAAGAGGAGAGTGCCTGCTGTGATAGCTTAGGAGGCCCCTGGGATCCAGGTGGGACACATGTCAGAGACACTGGTACCACTGTAGAGACCTCAGCCTCACTTTGAAGTGCAAAAGGGAAGGACAGGGAGGCAGGGTGTTCTCCTAAAGCTGCCAGCCCCATCCGTGAGCACCTGAAAAGAAGCAAGGGTTGCAGGTGCCAGGAGGTTCGCTGTCAGCAGATAATCCCTGCAGGGAGGGGTCCGATGGGCGGGCCCCGTACATGGGGGAGGGGGTGTCAAGCTCTCTGGGGGTTATGGAGCATCCCCATCATCCACAGACACGTAGCTGCTCAGGGGAGTAATGGCCCCCAGACGAGCTCCCCTCTCCTCTTTGCTACCTGACTCCGTTGCAGACCCCACTCCAGGACCCCCACTGAAAGGAAAAGCAAAGGAAGGAATCATTGGGCTTCTCTGCTCTACAGGGGAGCTGGACAGCTGTGGTTCTTCCCACTGAAGAAGTCGGGAGCCAGGGGTCTGCTGTCAGAGGCCCTTTGCTGAAGCGTTTGTTAAGCACCTACTACATAAGCAATATACAGTGCCAGACACTGTGGACAGAATTAAACGGTGTCCTGGTCTGCAAGGAGCTTCCAAGTGAGAGCTCCCCCGCACGCGCGCTTATACACACAAACCCCTCCGAGGCACAGAAGGGGGCGTCGGCAAATGCCAGAAAGCTGTAGTTTTTCTTGTTTCCTTTTCTGGAAAATATACAGTTCTCTTTCTTCGTTTATCTCACCCTGCCCTCGCCTTCGCCACCTCCCTTTCTATTTTCCTCTGGGTCCCTTCTGCCCGTTTCCTCCAGACTCTGCGACCTGCTTACTTCCCCATCTCATCCTCCCTCCTTCCCCCTCAACCTGCCCAACTCTCCTATCCCGCTCTCTTTTCCCTGACTTCTCTCCTTGGCTCCCGGTTCTCCTGTTCCCCAGATGCCGGGCTCTCCTCTCCTCCCCCCCGCCCCCATCTCCTGGGTTTTCTCTTCCAGCACCGGGGACAGCTCCAGCCCCCGGAACAATGGACCCCACTTTAGGGCTCCTCTATAAATTCTCCATCTTAGTGCCTTGCCCAACTCCTGACTGGGGAGTAAGATGGGGGAAGGATTATTATCAACAGGACCAGCTGCTCTTCTGGGGGCGGGAAGGAGTCGGGGAGGATGAAGATAGAAAGAGGGCGTGGCTCTTGCCTGGATTGTGCGTCCCTCTCCAGGGTAGAGAATTTGTATTCCACCCCTGAGACTGACATCACTGATGTCAGGGGAAAGGAGGTGGGAGTGGGGAGGGGGGTGTGGAGGGGGGAGGTTTTTGTTGAGGAGAGCGCGGCCGGAGAGCAGAGCTCCGGGACCCAGGTGACCGGGGGGCTGAGGGGAGGACCAGAAGGGGGGCGGCAGGGCAGAAGGGACCCCCGGAGCCCTGCCGCCGTCAGAGATCAAGCGTCTGGCATCAGGGATCTTCGGACCCGGCAGAAGGATCAGCCACAGGGGAGGTGTCCTCCGGGGGAAGCCAACGAGAGCTCCACCTGCCCTACACCAGGAGCGGGCCCCCTCACTGACGCCGCTGGCAACCATATCAGGCCCCCAACCCCACCACCTCCTCCCCGGCTCCCTCCTCAGGCCCTTTCTCCGCCGTCAGCTCTCATCTCAACCCCCAGTTCCCAGTCCTCTGAGCCCCATCGCCCCTGCCACCACCCGAACCCTCCAGGTCTTGGGCACACTGCCCCCATCCTGGGATATTTGCCAGATCTCTGGGAAGGAGACCATTTGTTTGGGCTATGCCCCCTGGTGGCATGACAGTGTCTGCCTAGACCCCTGACCCCTAGCCCTCCACTCCCCGGGCCTCCTTTGTGTGCAGAGCCGCCCCTCCGCTCAGCAGTGTGGTTGGGGTCACAGGGAGAGCCAGCCGGGCTGGGCCCCCGGCCCCCACCACCTGCCTCCTTGCTGGGCAGCTCCCCTGGCCTTTGGGCCTCTCCCTGCTCCCCTCGGCCCCTCCTCCTGGGCCGCCCCAATGAAGGAGCCGGATGCCATCAAGCTGTTTGTGGGGCAGATCCCGAGGCATCTGGAGGAAAAGGACCTGAAGCCCATCTTTGAACAGTTTGGTCGGATCTTCGAGCTGACTGTCATCAAGGACAAGTACACCGGGCTGCACAAGGGTGAGGGGTCAGGCCAGGCTGGAGAGGCTTCTCGGGGAGGTCTGGGAAGCTGGGACGAGTGGGGAGTCAGGATGAAAGGATGGGGTGTCTGGGAAGGGCTGATATGGAAAGAAGAGTTTGGGGTTGGGAGTGTGGATTGAGGCGCTGGAAGACTTGGCTAGAGCAGCCCAGGGTCCAGGGTAAGGGCTAAGGAGGCCTCTTCAGGGTGGAGAGTGGTCAGGAGGGGGGGGGGGGGCTTTGATGTGGTGCGATGAATTTAAGCAAGGACAGAGGAACAAGAGGGCCGACTTGGGAGATAAGGAGCTGGGCAGGTGTGTGTGTGCGTGTGTGTGTGTGCACGCGTGTGAGTGCGTGTGTGTTGAGCAAGACTCAGATCTGAGTGGCTTCAGGTAACATTGGCCTGGGGTCAGGGTGCAGAGTCGGGTGTTCCTCCTAGAAAGAGCGGAGATGGGCAGGAGATGGCAGGGCAGCTCCGGGACAGCAGAGAGGAATCCCCAACCAAGGTGCCAAGTGTTAGAGGCTGGTAGAGACCTGGGATGCATGGGGACTTAAGAAGTTAGGAGAGCCAGGGGCAGGGAGGATGCTCCTCAGGCCTATCCAAGGGTCTGGCTGGACTCAGGACTTGGAGAGCTTCAAGCACTGGGGACCTGAGGGGCCACACTGCCTGACCATCTACCGGCCAGGGAGAAGGCACTTCTGGCTAATTGTTGTCCCACTCTCTGCCCTCCACCTACCTCCCTTGGAGTTGGGGAGAGGTGAGGAAACAGGGAAAATGGAGACGACAGGGGTGTCAATGGGCAAGATGGAGGAGGCGGAGGGGAGGGGAAAGGGGAAAGGAGGGCAGCTGAGGGAGAGGAAGCCACACAACAGGCTCATCTGGCGGACATCACATGCCCCTTCTCCTCCCCCCACAGAGCCCATCTCCCCACAGCCCGGGCGTCCCCCTCTTCCATCACCTCCAGCATCTGGGCCTCCGGGTCTTTGCCCCATTTCTGGGGCAGAACGTCTACCCCCCTCAGACACTTCTCCACCCTGGCGGGCAGGTGGCGAGAAGGAAAAAGCTCTCGGTCTCTGGAGGAGCCCTTTAGTGGGGGGGACCAGGGACTCACCCCAGCCTGTCTCTGCCCCTGCCCCCCTCAGGATGTGCCTTCCTGACATACTGCGCCCGCGATTCAGCCCTGAAGGCCCAGAGTGCCCTGCACGAACAGAAGACGCTGCCAGGGGTGAGTGCCATTCCCAGCAGGGCCAGGGGGCTAAGAAAGGCCTTCTGGGGGTCAGTGGCAGGGGACCACCACCCTTCTACTTGCTAAGCATATTTTCCACCTCCTCTCATCTCCAATAAGCCCTCTCTTTCTGGCATCTCCTCTTACCTGGACCGAAGGTAGCCCGGGAATGGCAGAGTGGATGCCCTCCCTTTCCCACCCCACCCCCACCTGCCCGGAGTCCACACTAGAGGGAGGACCTGGCTGGTGGGAGGTGTGGGGAGGAGACGCAGGACAGCTAGTGGGGGTCAGGGTGAGCAGGAGCACCAGCCCTCTCATGGCTCCAGGTGGGAAGTCTGGAGAGGCGGCTGTGAGTTGGGGGAGGGGAGTAGGCAGCTGGGTGCCCACTGGACTGGCACCTTGGACCCATTTCTGAGCTCAGACAGGTGCCCCTCATGTCTCCCGAGAAGAGCCCAGGGAACAGAGCCATAGGCCGTCAGGGCATAGCAGGGCCTGGGCAGGCCTGGGCTGGAAGCAAGCCTGTAGGTCTGGCAGACCTCACTGTGGAGGACCAGGTTCGGGCCCACCAAGAGTGCCGGGGGGGCCGAGGTGGCCTCCAGTGCGGCCTCCCTCCCACAAGGTCAGAACTCATTGCTTCCTCTTCTCAGCCGGCCTCGCGGGGTGTCCCAAGCTGGGGCTGGAGGCTGAGGACAGCAGGAAAGCATCTGACAGCCCCCATCCGAACCCCGGGGAAAGGTGTCCCATCCCTCTTCTTATCCATCTGCTTCTGTTTTCTCCTGGACCTTGAAGCCCAGGAAGTACTTCCTGAGACCAACTCTATCTCTGCCTTCAGCAAACATTTGCTCAGCGTGGTCTGGGAGCTGGAGACACATCTGTGCTAGCCTCTACTCCTCCCCCATGTGGGAAGTGGAGGATGATGTTGATCATTCATCGCTTCCTGGGAGGGAGAGACAAACAGATGGGGAAGAGAGTGGGGGGAATCTAGGAAAATTAGAACTGCTTCAACTATTCCCAATTCCCAGCCTTGGGTAGGTCCACGACCTGGGCCCTCGACCCTCCAGGACTGCTAGGGAAGCAAATCCTGAAGCTGCTGCTTCCTCCCGCCCCCACTGTCTCATCCCAGCCAATGGCAAGAACAGCCATTGCCCCATCATGCATGTGTGTGAGCGGGCTCGGGGACTCGGGCTGAGCGTGTGCTCACACACGCACGCACGTGATCACAGGGCAGGCCAGCTGTGCGGGGGTGTAGGCACATGCATCCCTGGAAGCCGGGTCCCCAGCGACTCCCAACTTCCCTTTTCCCTTTCCTTTCCGCTGTGGAGGCCCTTCACAAATTCAAAGGATTTCATCTCCATTTCTGTTTGTCTTTCCCTGTTGTCCTCCTACCTCAGAGGCCCTACAGCAATGAGAGGGTGTCCAGGAAAAAGAGAAAGGAAAGGGAGACTGGAGTGGGGACTTGGATGAGAGGTGGCCTAGGGGTGGGCATGGGGCTCCAGGGCCATCCGTGACAGCTGGCTGCATCTAGCAGGGTCTGCAGGACACAGGCAGAGCTCAGTGCCTGCTAGGGGAGGGGCCCAGCCCGCCCCTCCTTCCTCTGCGTGTCAGCCCAGGTGAATGGTTGTCTAGCCTCACTCCAGGGCTCCCAGGGGTCGCTGTGTTCTCCACTCTGGCCCTTGTCCCTGGGGACAGAATCCAGAGGGACCTGACAGAGCTTCCGTAGGAAATGAGGGGTTTCCATCCTCCAAGAGGGAACCCCCATCCTAGGAGTCTTGGGAAGCAAACCCATGGTAGTCAAGGGGAGCAGATGTCCATGGCTAAGCCCCGCCTGCCTCTTTGTACCTTGCAGGTCTTTTCTCCTGCCACCTGCCTTCCTTCCCCTCAGACAGCCGTGTGTGTGTGTGTGTGTGTGTGTGTGTGTGTGTGTGTGTGATATGTCAGCTCCTGTACAATGATGCAGTTGTGTTGGGAATTTCATGTCCCTCCTACGGCGGGTTCTCTCTCTTTTTCTTAATTCTTGCCAGAGCGTGCATATGCATGCGAGAGAGACGCAGAGAGAGGAGAGGGAGAGAACACCCCCCGTGGGATGTGGTCACACCACAATCCCTTTTCTTCCTTTCTTCCTTGGGCCTACATGCACACATGTGCCTGGCATGGTTTTCAAGCCACCAGGGCCAGGAGTCAAATCTCACAGTCAGTCATGTGGGATCTGGCTCCCTTAATGACTGGTCTAGGGGCTGGTTCAGTTCTTTTTTTTTAGGTGCATGCACTTACCAGAGGGAGACTGAGAGGGAAACTGAGAAATCACCCCACAAGAGGGATGGCCATGCCACAACCCCTCCTCCTCTGGTCTTGGAATTTGGGGCATGCATGCACGTGCATTTGGCATGACTTTTCAAGCAGCTGAGTCTGAGACTTGAACAGTCAGCCATGTGAGGATCTAGCGTCTTAACTACCATGCCACCTGCTGTCCCCCAGCCCAGTTCTTTTTTAATGGGAGCATTTAGCCCTCTCTCCTTGCTCCCCATCTTTGTCACTCCAAAGTCTAGAAGGTGCCTACCCTTCCCTCTCCAACACACACCACTCCGGGGCCTGTCAGCTCTGGGCTGAAGGGGGATCTGGCCCTATGGTGAGGACCTCCGCCCACCATGAGCCACTGTGGACCAGGGTGGCAGGGCACCAGGCCCATGCCCTCAGCAAAACCAGTTTTTGTGGGAATGGTGAGCCCTTCTTGGAAATGAGGTCTTTGCTCTCAGTGAGGACGAAGGCCTGAAAGTGGTCCTGCTGGGGAGATCAGTGGTCCTGAGTCCTTGGTTGGGGTATAAATAGCCCCTTCTTCTTTGGGAGGCCCGAGGGAGGCCTTTTCACCCTCCCTAGGTGGTAGCTAGGGAGGAGCACGCTGGCGCTGGCGCCTGGTTGCCAGGTAAACAGGGCCCAGCTGGACTCAGGGGAGGGGGCAGGTGTGCCTGGGCTGAGCTAACAAAGCCTGAGCTTCCCACAGGAAGTGCCAGCCAGGAAGAAGGCTGGGAATGGGGCACTGGGGGCACCAAGGGAGTGTGTGTGGGGGGGGCATCCACGTGGTCTGTGCTGTGGCCTGTATGCTTCTGTGGTCTTTGTATGAATCCACATCAGCTGTGGGTATTTATTGATATGCTATTTTTGTGCCTGGGAGCCTGTGCAGAGAGGAACCGCATCCTCTCTGGGTCCCAGGTTCCCCATTTCCAACTAGAACAGCAAATCCCCAGGCGCCTGTTGGGCAGGGGTTAGTGCCAAACGTAAGACTCCCCCATGCTGCGACCCTGGCTCTGATTCCACCTCGTGGGGAGGATGAGCCTGTGAGGGAATTTCCTGCTCGCTTTGGCTGGAACACAGGAGAGGCGAGGTGAAAGACTACCAACCCCTCCCCGCAGCATCTGACCCCCAAGCCTTGCCTTGTACACGCGCGCGCGCACACACACACACACACACACACACACACACACTCCCTAAGAAGATTGAACCTCCATGGGATAATCCCAGATTGGTGGGAGATAAAGTTGGGGGCAGATTGGCTGGAGGATTTGTCTGCCGGGTACCCTCCCTCCTCCGCCAGCTGCTCTCAGATCCCAGAGATCTGGGGCTGGGGTGCTGGGGCAGGAGTATCAGCTGAGGTGGGGCGTAGGTCTGATCCAGGGTGGGAGTTGTAGCTGGCAGAGGCCGGCCAGAATGACCAGCAGGCTGTGCTGCCTGGGAAGAGGGCCTACAGTGAGACAGCAGGAACTTTGATTTCTGCACTTCTGTGTGTCTGTGATGCCACCCAGGAGCTCCCAGGGCCAGAAGGGCAGAGCAGACGGCAGAGGGGACCCAGCTAGAGACAACCTGCCTCACCCCACTTGTTTTACAGATGACAAAGTTGAGGCCCAGAAGAGAGCAGTGATCTGTCCAAGGTCGCCCAGCTAGTGAGTGGCAGGGCCGACCCTGGAACCCGGGTCTCCTGACTCCAGCCCATTGCCTATCCTGAGGGTCCCACTAGTTCCACCCTCAGAATGCAAAGCAATGGTTTATCTTCTTTTTTCTGTCACCATTAGATGAGTCGGGGCACCAGCTCTGGCCCCAGCAATCCAAGTCCTCAGTAGTAAAATGTGTCCCAACACGAAGTACTGAGTTCTCCTCCCACGCCAGCTCCAAGACTCCCCGCCCTGTTTCAGGAAACCAACCTGCAGGAGTCATTTCCAAGTCTTCTCAACTAGGAATTTCTCCATTCCCACGGAAGACTGAACAAAGGGAGATACTGCGGGTCGGGGAGAGGGGAGAGCTCAGAGGACTTCTGTGCGTGCTCGGGGAGAATCGCCAAGGAGTTCTGGGTGGCATCTCCTCCTTTACAGCCACCAGGATTTGCTCTGGGGAGGGAGGCAGGGACAGGGACACTCTGGCCCCTCTAGGACTTGCCCTGCCACCTCCCTCCACAATCAGGATGCTTCCCCAGCCCCTCCCCCACTTCCCAGCCCCCACCAAACCCTCCACCCCCAGCATAGCCTGTTCCCACCCCCCTCCCCACTCCTTCTCTGGGTGTGTGGAGCAGCAGAAGTGATGACGTCACCACGGTCGCCAGGGCGACGGGACGGATAAATCAGGCTGAGTGGGCGGTTGCCATGGTGCGCATTCTCCCGTTGCCACGGAGACTGGGCATCTGCTCCCTTTGTGCTGCCCGAGTGCCTTCCCCCTGGGGTCAAGGGGTGTATGGGGCAGAGAGAGGCAGACACACCTCTCAGGGTTAGAAGGAAGTCCGGGCCTCTGTAGGGTCTCCCTCGGCTGGAGTCTTCCTTGA